AACTCGATATCATCCATTTTATCTTTCCCTATTTGACAATATTGCCGGTTTGGGCAAGGTCGGTATTGCCTGTATGCAATATTTCTTTCTAGAACGGGCAACATATGAACAGATATTTATATCTTACGCAAATTTATATTGGTCTGTACTAGTGTAACCGCCAATACAAGTAAGTCCGTAACGCTTTATAAAATTGATAGCTGCTCTCCAAAAAACGGCGTATATTATAAAACCCTAAAAAAAGGTTTACTACACAAAAAATTTTTTTCATTCTTTGTAAGGTTCAGCTAATGCAAACTTAGGCGAAGTCTTTGTTGCCCGTTCTAGAAAGAAATATTGCATACAGGCAATACCGACCTTGCCCAAACCGGCAATATTGTCAAATAGGGAAAGATAAAATGGATGATATCGAGTTAAATTTATTTTTCGTTCTCTCATGAGAAAGAAAGAAGGCTGAATACATAATTTTCATACATAATGAATATATAATGCGCGAGAAGAAGAATAAACACTTCCGACCTGTTAGAGGACCTATGGTTTCCGAGATAGTATCTTGCCTGATAGAGAAAGTTGCTCGTTCAAGCAATATTTCCCGATCGGGCAAGTGACCACGGGCTGCTTGGGGTCAGTTACTTGGACCAAGTACTTCGTCTGCATAATGAAGTCGGTACTTGCCTTTTTTCCAGAAGTAAATTTATTTGTAAGTACTTGCCATTTACTTTCAGAAAGTACTTCTTAGCAATAAGGCAAGTATTTCGATCATTGACAAGTACTTGCATCAAGTACGTTCTCTAGGGTTTTCATCTGAGAGCATAGCAGGAACTTGAATCTTAGCATCGCATCAATTGTGGCGCCACTTACAGATGTTCAGACTTTAGAAACCGTGCAAAAGCTAGTTAGTCTAACCAGCGCTACGAAAGGTGCTGCCTATTGATATTCAAATACTTCATAATACTCAATAATTTATTTTTTTCTCTGTTGAAATCGCTCACAAAATAGGATAGGATCGATTTTAGAGTCATTGTCTGTTTCAGCATGGTTGGTCAGCATGCATCTAAAAGTTTAATCGCTATACTTTCTGTGCTGTCTCGAGTCACATGTCTGAGTGCGTTCTTGATCATCTTTTCCTCCTTCAAATTACAACAAGATGTTGAGATTGTTAAATATTTCCACTAGTCAAATGATGGAGTTAGTGTTACTTTACTGCTATAGCATGTGATGAAGAGAATATTATTCACTCTTTTTTATCATGGTGACTCATAATGATCCACCTGTCATGAATGATAGAGAACAGCACAAAAGAAAGACGAAAAGTCACGCTCTCACCTAAACATATTTTGTGTTAACCATTTCTTTTACAATGACGTTCGCTTTTTCTATTCAAAGCGATTAGTAAGAAGGATAAATACAAGCATGTGGGTTATTAGAAATACGTCTACATCTATGACGTATCAAAAGAATTAACAAACACTTCGATAGGCCAAACACTCATTTGAATGATATCATAGTAGAGAAAGTGCACCGCTGCGCTAATTCGCGGTTTGACGACGCCCATTTTTTACTCGCTGCTGAACAACTTTTCTCAAACCGAAAGAAATATACTCTTGGTAAATAGTTGCATTTCGCAACTTTTGTCGAAATTGTGTAATGAGCAGAGAATTTAGATAAACGTACGATTATTTGCCCACACAGTTCTTATTATATAGCACATAAAAAAGGTGAAGAAAAAAACATCGAAAAATGCTCCCACTGAAAATAACGTTTCAGAACCAAATTCTGATTCATTGTCTTGTTGGAAAACCCTATTTCCAGTTTTTTGAAATACAACTTTGTTTTTAGACATGCACGATCCTCTACTATCCATTTCAATTAACAACGCACTCGGCTGTAAGTTGAATAACTCCGGACAGGAAGCAGCTGGAGACCTGCGGTTTTCAACATTCGAAAGAGAATAATACTTTTTAATTTGAAATGTCGAAAGCTGATTGCTCAACAATTGACCAAACACGTGAGTTTTCGCTTGACATATTGGGCACTGCCTAGCGAAAAGATTCCCCGTTGGATTTGAATATAAAATTTCAGAAATATCCAATTTAATGATTTCAGTCGCTTCGAAACTGAAAATAAACATTACCATTCGACTCAGCATGGTCGATTACCTATATTTAGAGGTTTTCTGGAGTGATTCAAGGTCAGCTGGCCGAAATCGGGGCTCTCAGGAAAATGCTTATAGTTCCTGAACAGCACAAGCTAAAGAGTTGATCTTTGTGTATATCAGTAGAGAACAATTTTCTCTATCGAATGATTGTATTAGAATTTCAAATCCAATGAGGAATCTTTTCGTTAGGCAGGGCCCAATATGTCAAGCGAAAACTCACCTGACTGGTCAATTGTTGACCAATGAGCTTTCAACATTTCAATATAAAAAAATATTATTCTTTTTCGAATGTTGAAAACCGCAGGTCTCTAGCTGCTTCCTATCCAGAGTTATTCAACTTAAAACCGAGTGCCTTCATTGAAATGGATAGTAGTACTTCTCATTTTCTTGCATTCTGTTGTCAAAGTAGTAATCGATCCACTAGTTGGAAACTTCTGTACCGTAGAAGAAGACCAATCGTTTTTAATGAAGATTTGATTCGATTTAGAGAATTCAAAATGTCATGCAGATGGAGAAATCTTACCGGATTTGTTTTTCTTGATATTCCAGTGTGAATGTTGGAGTTTGAGACGTTTCTGGTTGGGCATAATATACAGTTATCAAATCGAAAATGTAGAAAATGGATAGCTCGCTTGTAAATTTCCAAGTGTATATACAATATATCAGAGACCTGAAGTTGCGGGGGTGTGTGTGTGCGTGTGTGTGGTGTGTACATCTTCCTAAAATAAAAGTTTTGTCTTCCATCCAGGCTAGGTTGTCTTTTTTGGACATGATAAAGTGGTTTTTTCCCTGATCAGATGATTGACTCATCTTTCTTCTTGGTAGAGTACCGTTGTATCACCTGGTACATCGAATGATTCACAGATCAGTTATACAAATATGTAAGAGGTGACAAAAAAGTGTTTTCCGTTCTTTTTCTTTACTTCATATCTCAGTATAGAGGCATCGTACACACTTCTTTTTTTATCATTAGAAAGAGCAGGTTCTAGTCTGGAAAAATATGCAAGCATAGTAGGATCAACCCAACCAGTTGGATAAAGAGTACTGCTCTAAACTTATGTGGATATACAACAGATATCACTCTACAAGCTGGCGTAAGTCCTGAGTCTCCGTTTCCCGTGGTTCGGGTATTACAGACAACCCCCAGAAAACCTAACTATCGGCTAAGCTTGCAGTCCGGAAACCTAAAAGCACATGAAGCATAGACTTTTGAACACGGAGAATCTTGTGGTACTATTTTGTTGTTCGGATTAAACAAACCTATTATCAAGAAGTGCATATTATTTAGTTCCTTCTCTGCCATTTACAGTCAATGATTCAGCCAATTTATGGAAAGTTTGGGCTTTCAGAATATGCGACCGGTTATCGCCTTTGTCACACTTTCTCTGGTCATTTTTTGTGAAACTCACATACATAATCATTGTTCGATTTTCTGTCACGCGCGATTAAAAGTGATGCCTAGACTAAATAGATTATATGAAAGTCGTGGCAGAAATCTTGAATGAAAGGTGACGCTCGGAGCATAAAATTGTAAAAAAATAAAAGCATGCGAATCATGTCTTGACGAGAAAAAAATGTTAAACAAAAATCCCTGTGACTTTGACACATCACGGCGAGAAGAACACAATGGTGTGCATCGCATATCCTATCACGCATGTGTCGCCACTTACAATTGAAATCTTGAATTTTTAGTGCTGAAAAGATCGTTTCACTTAATAGTTTATTTTTTGGCAAATTTTCTCCCCAACTAAGCACAGTCGAGAAACAGTAGCTACTGTCGTCGATAGCCCCATTAATGAGGAATTCATTGATATAAAACAAGTTGCATTTGCCTTCATAAACCCTTTTTTCCATCTTGTGGTTGATAATAGTGCTCTTTTAACAAAATTAAAGTCCATAATCAAGCATTTTTCCACATCAAGAACTACTTTTTTACATGATTTGATATTTGATTAGTTTTAAGCGCCAAAATATCAAGAATCACGGTTTTACCCATCTGATGTATTAAATTACCCAGTTGAATCCATCCTGTTCCTTCATGGATTAAATAAAACTATTTCAAGAAAGACTTAAAAGCCGCCATATATTGTTGATGAAGCCGAAAAAGTGGTCCAGCAGAACACTGAGGCTTTGAGGTTTTCCAGAAAGTTTCCGAAAAATCTTTAACCAATGTCCAGCTGAAATTCACCTTTTTCGTCGTCATTTATGATTTATGAGCTGTTCTGAGCGTTTCCTGAAAATTTCTTTGAGTCAACATGAGATTTGACCGAGATACAAGGATTTTAATTTTTGCTAATAACAGGTGAAAAACTGTTTTTTCACAAAAATACCTCTGATGAAGTTATTTTCATTTCTACACAAAAAAAAATGTTACCACTATACTCAGCGTAACAAATGTTGCCACTATACTCGATTACCTATATTCCATGGCACTTCGAGATTCCCAGAGATGTCCACTCAGAGATAGATACGTGCTCGGGGAAAGCGAGCCCTGTCCGAACGACGTTAACTGGGAAGCTGGGACTTGCATAATTTTGTAGAGTAACGTTCAGACTTCCTATGCATGCAAAAAAGTTCGTAACATTGTATGTCAGTTTTCTGAGAACGGAGCTGGTTTTCCAATGATCCTCTGGAAAATCGGACTTACAGAAAATTTTGAATCAAGTTTCTGCTTATGAAAACATGTCTTAAGGTCTTGGTTATTTAATAGTGAAAACCGCAGGTTGCTATGTCATCTCTGTGAAAAGTTATTAGCAAAACACTCACGACCACCATATTTTGGAACAGATAGTAGTTCAAAAATATTAGCACAACGTGATGCTAGTCATGAGCCAAAAGAAGGTTATATAATATTTTTTAATTTATTCGATTTAAATGTAAATAATAACTGTCATAATGCATGTGATGATTCAGATATCGGTGAACGTAAACGTAAAGAACGATATTTAAATAATGAAATTATTAACCCTAGTACTACCATGTGAGTCATTTTTGACCCATAGTAAAAAACTTTAAGGTACAATAGAAATATTTGGTTTTTTCGCGATTTCTGAAGGCAACACCCTCAAACCTCTTAATTCGTTTGTGCTGTGCTATGATGACATAATGAACTCGTAAAATCACCTCAGATACTTTCACGAATACAAAAACAGAGATAATCTTTTTCAAGTTCAGTTTCATAGATCAATTTGTTGTTTTAGCTGGTGTTCGTTGTTCCAGCGCCCGTATTGTTACGATACGAGAGAGGAACTCCCGTCTTTATGTGTTTTACTTCGTTTTTTTTTGTTTTCGTTTCTTTTCCCTTTCTTTTGCTTTCGTTCTACTATCATATATATTCTTTTTCTTTCCTTTTCTGCATTTATGATATATCCCATATCTTTTCTCTTTCTCTTGACGTAGCTTAGGTATGTTGGTATTTTCTTTATACGGTCTTTTCTCTTGATATCGAAATTTCCCTGGTGATAAGTACACTGTCAAAAGAGATACACGACGATGGCCTCTTTGTGTTTTCTATGGAATGATCGATATTGCCGGACTAAATGGTTTAGTCTTATGGAAACACAAAAATCCTGACTAGAATCCAAATAAACGCTATAAACGTCGTTTATTCATTGAGGAATTAGGAATGGATTTAGTCTCACTTCTTCTGGATTTCCGATCAAATACCTCGAAAACTTTACACAAGGATATTCGTAATGCGTTGGCTGTTTTTGGTTATCCTTTGATAGAGGAAGAACCACAAGAATCAGATGAAAGCTCCATACAAACCAAACGAAAGCGATGCTCAATATGTCATTTTTCGGAGGACAGAAAATCACGAAATATTTGAATAACAATGTAAATTTATTTAAATATATTTCGAATGACCAAAAAATGATAATTATCAATTATTTATATAAAATAGATGAGGATAAAGGTAGTCTAATAATGAGACATTTATTAGAATTATTAAAAACTATTAATTTCAACGAAGAAGAAGATCGATCGTCTATTTTAATTATATTTCAATAAATGAATAAATTATATTTTAAGAACAATTTGTCTTATGGTGAATTTACACTAAATAATGAACTGTTTGAAATACTTAAATTAGAATCGATTAATGAATGGAAGAGAATTTTAAATGAATACATTGAAAAACAATATAATGATTTAAATATTAAAGAATTAATTGAACTAATGTATGAAATATCTGATAAAGGCAAAATTAATGAATCAATAGAGTAAACTGGGGCAATTGGAAACGATTTTTTGCTGTTTGGGCTTCTAATGACTATAACTTTCATAATTTTAATTATCTTTTTGAGATTTTTTTAAAGGTAGGTAGAGAAGGAAATTTTCTATAAGCCTATCTAAAAATTTTCAAAAAACTCCGCGTCCTAAGCGAACTTCCCGGTATTTTACTGAAAGCTCTAACGAACATTTCCAATTATCCCACTTGGGACAATTGGCAACAACAATAGAAATTGATGGAGTAACACCATGTATTTTACACAGAAAATAGTTTATTAATAAAAAATAGTTTTCTCGTTAAGCCAATGATACTAATTAATATTTTTTGCACAGGTAAATAGATCAATTATTGCTCTACAAATACTGAGAATCTCCAAGCTCCCATTAATTAACCTGAGCTCTAATTAAAAAGGTAAACGCTGAGAAATTTTCAAATGTTTCTAATTACCCCATTTGTGACAATTGGAAACGTACCTGAAATTTAGTGGGGTAAATGGAAACGACCATGTAAAATAGCTGGAAAACTAGGAGTTCTTGGAAATCAGTTTCTACTCGGAGAACACCTCTCCCAAAAAAGTTTGCGCTTATAAAAAGATGCAAAATATTCTTTTCTGCAATTGTAGAGAAACTCTTGCTCGTTTTGATCCAGAAATAACGAAATAAGCGTGTTACACGAGAAAGTTGGTCTAGGCTATCTTGATAGTCACTGAACAAAGCTTTATGAAACTCGGCGCTTAAGGGTTTCTCAACGCCCTCTTTCTTTTCTTCTCTAAAAAGTTTTCTCTGAAACTCTCGAAAGTAGGGTTTTCTAGAAAATCGTGGTTTTGGGGCTACTTGTACTTCTGAAAACGACTTTTAAAAATCACTTTTAAAGCATGAAACATTTTTAATGGCATATTTGAATTCAGCGTCGAAAGGCGAACATTTTTTTGAGAAAAAAGCAAGTCTTCAACCCAAAATTTCAGTTTTTCAATTATAAATATGGATTTGTGTTAATAATAAAATTGAACAATATTATAATGAAGAGAATGTTGTACAAGAGATTATATTTTAAAAATGATGAAAAATAATCATATAACAGTACCATTAACACTTAATGAATTTATGAATAAAAATTTAAATATATGGATTAAAAATGCCTATTGTGCAAAATCTATTGAAAATAATGATAACTATATAATTTGTGATAAAGAATCAAACAAAAATGGTGAAATATTAATTGTGGATAAAGATACCGGTATTGAACAATAAAGATACATCACTTTGGAGTAATGGTTTACATATATTTTTACAATTAAAACATTGTAGTTCAATAAATGATGAAAGTTTAAAAGCAGTTTATATACCAAATATTAATTTTTTTAAACGTTATAATAATTTAAGAGGCATGACTGTTATGATTGGTGGTAAAGAAGAAAGAGAATCATTAAGATTAGAATATGATGTTGATTGTTTTGAATTACCACGTTTTAAAAAATATCCTTTTAAACATGCAAAATCAAAAGAAATTGTATGAAGTATATCTTTGATTCATACATCATTAGTTCAGCCAAGATGCCAGTTTTAAAAGTATATGAAGCTCCTTTTAAAATTTTCTTTCATTGCTGAGAAAATTCGTTTTTTTCAGATCATAGGCGAAAATGTCGGACTTCCGCCCGTAATTATCGATTTTTCTCATCAGCACTCAACTTTTGAGTGACAAAAATATCATATTTGGAATCAGGATAAAAACCTGAGCGGATGGATCTCTATGTCTATCTTATCTGACTACTCTAATTTTTTTCGAATTTTCACGTTGAAAAATTACCGAGACTTTCACCCACCAAAATCAACTAAAAATTTTCGAATATGATATTTTTGTTGCTCAAAAGCTGGGCTCTGATGCGAAAAATTGAGAATACGGGCAGAATCTGGACGTTTTCGCCTCTGATTTAGGAAAAATGAATTTTCTCAGCAACAAAAGAAAATTTTAAAAAAAGCTTCATATACTTTTAGCTGAACTTAAAATCTAACTTTGGTGAATGTCATTGTTTTTTCGAGCTCTGAAGTGGCTCGAGTTCTCTCGATTTTTCAACATGTCACCCATCTCGTTACTAGCCATCAGGTGCAACTCTAACCAGAAGGCTAGCCTGTCGTAGAGTTCTTTCGCCCAATTAATTGAGCTTCCCATACACACTTTACTAATCACGTACTAGCTTTTCGGAAAGCCGTGAGGACTAGTCGAAGAAGCTGTATTGTACGTCACAACATAGTAGGTATGCTGTCAGACGGCTTATCCGAGGTAGTCAGACATACGTAACTTGTCCAGGGTTATTATATAACTTTGCTAGCGCCGAGGTTTGAACACAGTATTTTCGACATATGTGACGAACAGCATAATCAGCAAGTCACGCTACTCTAAAGAAATAAATGCTAATACATTAGTCTGTTTTAGACGTGAGATACGTGAACCGCTAATAAGTGTTAGTACATTTAATGACATTTTAACGAAGACTGTTTTAATTTTAATTAAATAGTGATGAAAATGTATGAGACTATATCAGAATAATAAATATTAGACGGCTGTTTCGACAGTATCAGCTCGTCATAAATATATATTCCTTTGGCGTGTAAATCATTGTACTTGTAATAGTGAGCAGCTACTTTCACTGTGGCGGTGAAATGATAATCTCTGCCACATACACAAGCAAATGTTTTGTGGCTAAAACGGTAGTGGAAATAGATGGTAAAGGAAATAGAGGCGCACGCAAGTATTGTTCTTGCATATTTAATCAAACATCCAGTATAACGGGCACGCCTTTCATCATCCATCAACCACAGATTCCGACGTTTGTCCAATATGTTGGACAATATGTTCCGAATGACTACATTGCCAATTTCTCCATCATTATTTCAATGACAGCAGCATATTGCCCATTAATTCCTATCAAATCTGACCGTAAAATTCAGGCTTGCGCTTATCTTTATTAGATTTCCAGATTTAGACGACAATTCTTTGATTTCGTAAATCTAGGTATTACAACTGCTGCTGTTGGAACAGCTGGTCCTAATGTTGTTCAAATAAAAGAAATTGAGAAGAGAATGACCTCTTATGAACTCTCATCAACAAGTTATCAAAAAACAGATACTGAAAAAGTTCTTTCTGATTATTTTCCTCGTTCAGGACTTTCTTGAAAGATCGAGTGAAAGAAAGAGGAACTACGGTAGATCTCTTCGTTGTGTAGACTGAGGGATCTTAGTGATCCACACTATTGGCCATCAGAGTATTCAGGATTCAAATAACTATACGCCACGATTGGATCCACTGAAGTCAAGATTTCTTCCATCTATTTTTAGGCGGACATCAATACAGCAACATTGGCTTTTGTAAAGAATGGCACAGTGGAGTTAGCCTTAGAATTGTTGTGACTGAATGGGCGTTTGATTATGTCGGTCTCAATAATGTATTACGGGAATATGTCACGAGCAGAGAGATCATCGTACGTTGTTACTGGATGACGTTGTTGCTGTTGTCAGTTAAAACGACCGCACAATGTTGAATGGCTGATTATTATTGCGCCCTGATGCTCATTATCATCGCGATCTTCTCCATGAGTTTGATTCGAAGAAGTTAAGTGTAATGGAGGATTTCTTGTAAAAACACGTTGTACTGTTAGATTATTCAATCGAATAATGTAACAGTACAACGTGTTTCTACAAGAAATTAGCTCCTCATCGATGAAGAATGTTGTGTGCGGGTGAGGGGTGTGAGGCGCGCGCGCGAAGTTGTTCTCTGAAAAACACATTAGTTGCCCTTTTCGAAATTCATAGTTATCCAAGCAAGAAGTTCTTGTTTTGTGTATGTGCGCGCATATGTCTTATTTGAAATATCCCTTTTATCTGTTCGTATCCCTTTGATGAAATATATATGATCGCATATAATAACATGCTCAAAAGAATTATTACTGATATTGAAACATAGAAGCCAACAGTTTAAAAGAGAAATGTGCTGACTTTTATCGATTGGTTTTCCGAGGTCGCATATGAAAGTCATGGATATTTTTATATATCCGAGTAGAGGAAAGTCTTGGAAATCTGACAGTATAAAATGTTTTAAATTGATCCAAAACTGACTGAGTTATAAGCGAAAACTTGAGTGAGGTTCGTTTACACTTAGAGACATCGTTATGTTATGTTCTTTTTTGCTTTTTTCCGTTGTCTCGTACAAAGCAAGCGTTTATTCGCAATGCTATATAAAGAAATTAAAGAGAGGAACAAAGAAAAGAAAAGAAAATCACTATTTGTCGCAGTTCTAGTAGCTACTGCCAAGAAACTTATTGTTGCCTAAATGACAGATTATGTATTTCTTTTCGATTCTGTTCTAGACAATATAAAAACTGTTAAACTAATGATGACGAATCCAGAAGACAATTAGCCCAAATATATTAGTGGATAAGTGAGAATGAAGTATATGTTTTCACTTGAGTTAAAAAGTGAAATCAACGCCATCGTTCGAAGGTGAAATTGTGCATAAGTATTGTATTTGCCGAGTTAATAAATGTGAAAAAATCCATTATGTAGGTAAAAATTAAAATTAAGGAATATGTATCGACATATATTTTTCATTTGAGAGACAGAAAGATTCATTTTGTAATAGTGTTTGCAAGTATAATAAATGGACAAAAGCATTTTTTTTTTCAAAATTCTTTCATCTTTTTTCTTTCCTATTAACCTTGAAATTTATTTTCATTCAAATCACAGTGTTATTTAATCACACAAGAGACTAATGGAGAATAAATAGTTGATAAAACAAAAGAAAAAGAAAATAAACAGCTTACAAGAATTTTTTTTTATGATAGTTGTTGTACATACATAGAAATCGTGTTGTGAATAAACTATCTGTTACAAAGACGTTCGCTAATGTGTTGCTGTCTTTTTTGCTCAACACTTAAGGTTTAATTTTGAAGATATTTTTGGAAGAGAGTAGACAGTTCTTCGATGTCTACATTTTCTTTTTAAACAAAGTTAAGTGGTTAAATATAAGAAAAGTTCTTTTCTCTTTTTTAAAAAAACGTGCTACTTTTTGCGTTCATAACACTCGAAAACGTTTGTCGTCTTTCTTTCTCCATTTTTTTAAGACATTTAAGAAACGTGACGAATGACAACGGCAAATATCAGGTGAAGTGGAAGAAAAACATAAAATTGAAAATGATATAAGACAACTGAGTAAAAAATTATCAAATTTATGTTTGAGGACCTATAGAATAAAATAATAAAGTTTTAAAAAGTAAAAAGGAAGCTTGCAGAGCATTTTGTTTTAACTTACATTAAGTAATGTTTGCGACCTTTCAAGAATCTAGATATAAAGAGAAATTTATTGTTAGATATTTCAAATAGATTGTAATAAGTTGCCGTCACTTGTACCATATATAGAAAAAACAAAGAGGCACAACAGCTTTCTCTCACCTAGTTGTACCTCCAGCATAAATCATCCAACAGCTATTCTACTTTGCGTTATCTTTAGTTTTGTGAAACTCCTTCAGTATCTCCAAAGGAGAAGGAATTGAAGTATTATACTCAAAATCACCTGTTTTGGCCGATTTTTTAACCAGGCCCCCCTTCCCCCGGGTGTATGCATCTAACAAGGTTGGTGTATTCATCTTAACCTCGCAGTGTAGTGTAATCACCTTATTCAGGAGGTGTATTCGCCTTAACAGAATGATGTATCCCTCTTAAAAGGGTAGTATATTCATCTTAAAGAACAGCTGCAATTTTCGTTAAGCTCTTAAAGCTGTGCGGTATTCGTCATTATAGTTACAGTTATTATCTATAAAATTGTCTGCCTCCTCTTACTGATCTTACTAACCTAAACGTATGATTAAAAAACAAAAAACTAAACCTATATTAAAATTAGTAAAAGAATTTTCAACGAAATTGAAACAAATTTTTGTGGTCAGTGTCGTTTTCTAAGTAATTATAAACTCACTCTTTTCGTGGCTACATCTTAATCTCTTCTATGTTAGTGTACACTATTCCCAATATCATTTATCGGATAATGTTAAGAAGTTTCACCGTTTTAGCCCTCACAAGGGGCTATCCTGACAAGGTTTTTACTGTCATTCATATCTTCGTATGTATTCTGAGTGGCATCGTTGAAATCTGAGGACAGAGATAGAGAATGTGCCTGGAGGAAAGTACACAAAAAGAAACTTTTTAGAAAGAAATAACTTTCCGCTAATAGAAAAGTTCTGACCTGAGATCGAACAGATTTGAACTGAAGGAAAAGAAAAACGAAAAGTTTTTATAGTATTCGAAATTTAAAAGTGATCATATTTTTTAACTATAATTTGAAGTGTTTCAAACTATTCTTAATTCAAAACTTTTGTTCTAGTTGAGCCTGAAAGATCGAGTGACCAGAATGAAGTTAATCGTGTGTTCGTTCTAAGAATCCGCTAATACACTTAAACTGTTGCTAAAAACAACAACATATAGCATCTTCTAATGTCAGAATTTTATACCGTGAATCTTCAGCTTCGTTCTGTTTCTCTAAAAACTACTGCATTCCTTGCATTTAAGACAACTAGTTCATCAATATCACAAACACAGTTCTAATGTAAAGTGTTCCTTTCTCTGTATGTTCAAAATTGTGCTATAAAAGACGTTCGACAGCAAGTGTTGTAATTCATGATCAAATCTCTCAACATACTTTCATACATGCTGCTTTTGTTTCCGATATTGTCGAATAAAATTCTGTTCCAGCTGTACTCTTTTTCGCTAAATTTTCATTTATTTTTGATACTTTCTATTTACTTAATTGTCTCATTTCATTTTTCAATTTTATATTTTTCTTTCTCTTCACCTATGTACTGTTGTCATTCGTCAAGTTTCTTCAATGTCTACAAAAATTTAAGAACAAAAAAGACGAACGTTTTCCATGAACACAAAAAACGCAGATTTTTGTCTTTTACATTTAACCAGTTCATTGTTATAATTCTGAGGAGCGGCACCTTGTTCAGATATGATGCTTCAATGTTAGTGCACTTTCTATATGTTTCTGAAAACATAACAGAAAATGAGAAAATTGGAGCAAAATCGTTTGTCTATCTCATAATGAGGGAATGCATTGTGATCCATTTTCTTATCTTATTTGACATTTGTTAAACTCAAAGGATTTTGGACTTTCTGAGCGTTACGAAAAGCTATACTCGTCTCTTGAGCCTGACTTTTGACTTATTCATTAAGATGAAAAACAATATGGAAATTACTTTTGCGTTGATCTCAATAGAATCAAAATGATATGAGACACTCTACCACGGTAAACAATAGTTTATTCCTTCTACTCTTCCGCAAACTTGCTAAATTAGCTCAAATTTAAGTAATCTTTGCATTTGCACATTCTTTCGGTATATTCCCGTGACTCATTCATTTTTTTTCTGACTTATTGACAGTGTTTTGAGGGAACGATGAAAGATATGGGTGAGGTCCCGACACTATAAAATGTCGACGAAACAGGAAAATCAATTCATATGTCGATGAATCGGGACTGAACCCAATTTCTTTCTTTCTTCCTTTTCTTCTATTTTATCATAACAATAAATCAAAACCATCATATAGATCGTTGGTATGCTGTAAAGTTAAGAAATGTTTAAAAAATCTCTGAAGTTTTTCAAAATTGTCATCCATTTATGGTAAAAAATAGATAATTTTGTGTTGGTTAGATCTGAAATATTAATACATAATATACCGGTTGTTGTTGTTGTAAGACTGTTTTCAAAGTTTATTTTTTTTATTGCAAGAATATAAACATTTTTGAGAAAATTTTTGAAATTTTGTCGAAAGATCTCTCTTCATCAATAGTGCACTCTGGTTGAGAGAAATTAATAAATACTTCGAGAATATTCTATTTATTTGAATTTTTGTAAAAAGATATTTAAAAGCACTTGTTCGCAAATTATGCTTACCATAGGTTTGCTCGTAATCCAAAACTTAGCTGTTATGATAGTGTTGTTGGAAGATATGGTGATCTTTACAATTTATTGAACTATAGTTCTCTTGAGGTTTTGTTCAGATAATATTATAATCTTAATTCTAGATGGGAGCCTATTTTTCGTCTATTTATCATTTTTTCTTTCATCCGAAGGCAATTGCAAATACCGCTGAGCCCGCAAAAGCAAAATTTTCTTGGTAAGTAATCTGAAAAAAGGACTTAAAAACGAATTTAATTAATTTTTATTTTTTCTTTACAGGGAACAACGTTCAGAAACATTGAATAAAAAGGACTATATCTTAGATAAATTGAAAGATCAAACAATAATCCGTCTGCCTGGACAAATTAATGGACAACAATTTATAATACAAAATTGTGAAGTAAGTAAAATGATATTAGTTTTTGTCGATTAGAATTTTAATGTCTTAGATAAATAACTGACCTGAATTATTATTTAGAGTTGTACAATTTATATTTTCGATCATGTAGGACAAATACAAATTGATGATTGTAAACATTGCAAAATATTCATTGGTCCTGTTAAAGGAAGGTATGGTCGAAGGCGTCTATATATACTTCGAGATTTAACCATTTAATTTATTCTTTTCTTAGTTTATTCATTCGTGATTCACAAAACTGTAGTTTAGCTACAATTTGTCAACAATTTCGAACGAGAGATTGTCATGAATTAAATGTATTTCTTTCATGTGTAAGCCAACCGATTATTGAATCATCGCATCATATTCGATTTGGCTGTTTAATGTATAAGTATGATAAATTAGTAGGTAAGTAAACGTAGTGCAAAACTGGCTACTTTCATATTTAGTTGAGACTTTGTCAGATTTTAAAATTTGGTGTTTTGTGAAGTTTGATTCTGAGATGTTCTTCGTGCTCTTACTATTTTAATGTTTGAGGATTTGTATATTAAACTTGAACTATTTAACAGACACTTCATGCCTATGTTCTAATTTCCCAGATCGACGATAGAGCCCTGCAGGTTAAATCTAACCTAACCTATAGGTTAGGCTTCAGGTTATGAAACTTTTTATAGGTTAGGTTGTAGGTTACGCCATTAATAACCTAAACGAAAAACAGCGATTTTCAACGACCACATTAAAACAGTCAATACTTTGAGTAATAAAGCGTAGTCCGAATGGAACTTTATCAATTGAGCGATAGGTTTTCTAGTACTAAACTAAACTATTTTCACTGAAAAATGGTACAATCAAAAAAGGAAATACAGAGAAAAAACTTATGTTTGCTAAAAATAGATGGCGAATACACAAAAATAACAGCACCGTTGTAGCATCGAGAACCCAAAGTGGAATTCTGATCTACTCTTAAGCGGGTCTCTCTATTTAGAAAGCTATTTTCCAATGATTGCATTAAAGAATAAAAGACTCACGAGGAAACCTCTCGAGAAGATAAAACGCTTTTTGATCGATATCTAGTGGGTTATAGGTTATCGACCATGCTGATTCCAAATATGATTATGGGAACTACCCTTAACCGTACGAAGAGCCGGTTTTCTGGAAAACCAGTCTTTCCGAAACTCTAAAAAGTAACCAAAACCTTTCTTAATGATGCATTATTGTAGTCCGCAAGTTTCTGATTAAAATGAGACCTCTGCCAGCTCTACACGACCTTTCTTTGCAAAGTTATAGAATTTACAAGAAAAGCCCTAAATGTTTATTGTCAGCTCAAAGCTATAATTT